CCCCAAAGACATGTTACCCAATCCCATGCGAGTAATACCGAATACGCAAAATGATGGACAAGGGACGCGCGATTCTGATTGGTTAAAATAGAAAAGGGCCCCGCCCCGCCCCTTTACTCTTTCTTGCTGTACTTGCTGTCATAAAGTAAATAGAGAATATTTTATAATATCTATGTATGAATGAATGTATATATATATATATATATATATATATATAAATATATAAACTGGATCAGACGGAATAGGCTAGTCTAACGTAAATGATGTAATCCTACTATCACCTTTCACTTATCTAACGTTAAAAACGTTAAAATATTCCTAAAAAACTGAAGGAGGCAGGGTTAAATTATACACCTGACATGCACAGCTACAGTTTAATATTTATGATTGTATATTTTATAATCAAATATGTTTACCAGCAAGGGCGGAGTGATTATATCTTATAACCGCCCTGAAGCATGTTGATCCAGCGATGTCGTCGTAATGAACTCCCAAAATCCTCTTCTGGAAGAGCAGCTTTCTCCGAAGACAGCTGTTGAAGATCCGTAATAACAACGAAATAAATGTTCACGCACTATTCATCGGACTGTTAGGCATCAAACATGGGCGTGAAAGCAATCTTACAAGAGGCATGAAAGGCTGATGTATGTTTTCGACATCAATATGATGTGTTTTCAGCTTGACGTTTCACACAAATACGCGTTTTCAGCGAAGTATTCCTCATCTGGCTGATAACTCCGCTGTTATGTGGTCGCCATTACTGGTCGCTCCTACCGTTGTCTAGGTGCTTACGTAATCGAAGCGCGACGGTTTTTGTTTGACAAAAGAACGCCTTCAGTCTTCAGGGGCCGCGTTCATATTTTAGGACGGTTTTTTTTAGTGAAATCTGTCTGTTAAAGCTAGGATTTGTACATGACATACAACCAGAAATCCACCGCACACATTCTTGAATTTTAATATTTAATATTGATAGTATCAATATTCAGTGTTGGGGAGTAACTAGTTACATGTAACGGCGTTACGTAATTTAATTACAAAATAAATGTAACTGTAATCAGTTACAGTTACTAAGAAAAAATGTGTAATTAAATTACAGTTACTTATGAAAATGTTAACGATTACAAAGGGGATTACATTTGAATATTTACACACATCCAGATACAGATTTAATTGATTTCTTTCCCAAATTGCACTGACTACTCTGAGACATACGGCCCTATAATTTCCGCGATGCGGAAAACACAGACTGGTTCGTAGAATCCAGTCATAAAAACGGAATTCCTAATATAGCCTAACGCGGACGGAATAGGCCACATTTTGGACGAATAAATCAAGAGTAGGTCAGTACACTTGAATCAAAATGCGATATGGACTAGTGTCTGTGAATATTAAGCCGCAAAAAGACAATATATGAATCCTGCTTTTTGCGTGTCTGTGGAAATCAGGCGCGGACTGGCCATCGGGAGAACCGGGACAATTCCCGGTGGCCTGGCAGCCGATTTGGCCCACTATTTTAATATTATTATTGTATAATTGCCTGCCGAATGTACTAAAGCGATTATTTCCGAATTCGCCATTCGATAGTTAAATCTCTAATAAATCATGAATCGGTTAAGTTAGTTGTAACTGGCAATGCTTCGCCAAACGGTTTGGATCCAGTGGTTCCCAAACCTGTCCTGGAGGACCCCCTGCCCTGCACATTTTGTATGTCTCCCTAATCAGACACACCCAATTAAGTTCTTGCAGTCTCTACTAATGAGCTGATGAGTGGAATCAGGTGTGTTGGGTAAGAGAGACATACAAAAAGTGCAGGGCAGGGGGGCCTCCAGGACAGGTTTGGGAACCACTGGATCAATGCGAGAGATCAGTCATCACTCAAAATACTGTATAAAGGACATCATTATTATCTATTGTAATGTTACAGTAGTAATTTAGCAGACAAATAATCATATTTTATAATAGGTTTAGGGAGAGCTAGGGCAGACAACCACACAACCCTTACGAAAATTAACATGATTTTACTATAAATCCAAAGACAATGGTTACTATTGTTAAACCATGGTAACCACAAATTAACCATGATTTTTGCTACACTAAGCATAGTTTAACCATGGCATTTGTAGTAAAAATAAATACAAACGGTAATCCATTTGCAAAAAAAAAAAAAACACATGCTACTGTACTTTTACAATAATAAAAGCATGGTTAATTTTTGTAAGGGAAAAACATGACTCATGTTCAGTAGGATTTTTCTATAAAGATATTGTAGTGATGTACTAATTTTGACATGTAGGCAATTTAGAAAGTATAGTTTTGTTAAATCTTGAGTATTAAAGTCATGAGAGAGATAGATATCAAGGCAAAATAAAGAGACTGAAAAGAAAAATGGAAGTGAAGGTGCAGTTCAGGAGAGAACTTTTAATTATTTTGCATGTCCCCAACCTAAGCATTTAAACCTTTTTTATCTGAGGCAAATAAACATTCATTAAAAATTTAAAAAAGTAATCACAAGTAATCCGTTAGATTACTTTAATAAAGTAATTGAAAGAGTTACACTACTATTACATTTTAAATAGGGTAACTTGTAATCTGTAACCTATTACATTTCCAAAGTAACCTCCCCGACACTGTCATTATTCAGAGCTGGATAGTAACTGATTGCATGTAATCAGACAGATTCCAAAAATTAAGTACTTGTAATTAGATTCAATTACATTTTAAAATACTCGTAATCAGACTACAGTTACTTTTTATGGATTACATGATTACATATTATTCACACAATAGCAATAAATTATTCATCATTTTTCGATTTTCCCTAATTCCTCTTTTTCATCTTATGTTCCTTTCTAAAATACTGCTTATATACATTCAAAAAAGTTTTCCAGTTTTGTGGAAGACACCGCATTTGATCACTGGATTTGCATCAATGATGAACACAATTTTTATTTGAATTATATTTAACCATGTAGCCTATGTGTTTGGAAGGCTTTTGTCTTACCAAGAGCTTGTAACACTCCAAAGAGAAAGGAAAACTTGAAATCCTTTAAAATGCACAAATTCACAAACTTTTTTTTGTAATTTGATCTTCTTTCACCTAATATATTTACTTGAAGTACCCCTGAGATTTTAAAATATTTTAATAATAAAGTATCGCATTTGCTTGTCCACGTTTGTCTGGTGTTGGTTATGGTCACGTGACATGCAGGTAAACAAATAAAATATTTCTTTTTTTATTACGTGTTTTATTTTGATTTATTTTCAAATTTATTTTCACATTTTTATGATGCAATTAGGCTAATTATTAGCTTTTCATTAAACTCACGAACCTCCTGCAGTTCCATCACAAACTCGTTTGCTAAACCTTGACGTAATGTCATGTTTAGTACGCTTCATGTTGTTAATAACAACGAATGGAATATATTTTCTTCAAATTTGTATTTTTATATCAATATGGTACAGTATTATACTATTAAAAACAATGTGATAAATGAGTTAGGTCAAAAGTAATCAAAAACTAGTCTGATTATATTACCTAAAATGTGTAATGTAATGGAATACGTTACTAACTACAATTTTTGTCATGCAATTTGGAATCAGTAACGCATTACAATTTGTAAATAATCTACCCAGCTCTGACAATATTCTTAGTAATTAAAACAACTGTGAACATCGAAAAGTCACAGGTAGCACGTGACTATGTAACGTATAGATTTACATTTTCTAAAATAACACTCAGAAACATATTAAAGATTAATGTAGAAACGTTAACAGTTCTTTTATTTTAATTATACACTAAAAGTGAAACAAAAACTCCTAATTTAGACCCATACTTGACCAATGAAACTTTCAGGGTAACAAGGCCTGACATTTTGCCAGAAGCTCCCAAGAAAGTGAATATGTTGTTATGCTACATTGATTTCCCCCCCCCTAAATCAGTAAATGCATGGATTATGGTAAGGATTCAGTTTCATAACAGAGCTAAAAACGTATTTTCAGATGATAAATTAAAGAACTCTGCTTTAAAAAAAAAAGTAAAATGGCAGACAACACAGGTACTACTGCTTCTTTTGTGAATACAGCTTAAAAATGATGACAGGATTTCCATTTTTGGGTGACATAATAATTATATACCTTTAACCATTACAATTTTTCTCTTCTTTTTTCTTCCAAAACTCATGACATGACCGATCCATAAACAAAAAATCTCTTAACTAGCAATATTAAGCAGTAAGAAAACAAACCATATGTTAGACTGTTTTCAAACAGCAGCACCAATTGCTTGAGGGGCATCAATAAAGAAAACAACTCCATAAACCTGTGAATGTCAAAGCAAGGACAGATCCATTATTGAAACACATCCACATCATCTGTATGGAATAATCCCTTCAATACATGACAATAAATAAACGAGTGAAATGTCATTGCATATAAGTCACATATTGCATAGTGATCTGTCAAACTGCTTTCGACATTCATCGATCGTTATCAAAAGATGCTTTTACGTAACAAAACATATGGAAAATATATATATACACTGGCATAGTCACAATGTAAGGCACTGTGTCAACATGTTCTTGTTTATTATTTGATTATTCTAGAACAGTGTTTCTCAACCCTGGTCCTGGGCGCCCCCCAGCACTGCACATTTTGGGTGTCTCCCTAATCAAACACACCTGATTCAACTCATTAGCTCATTAAAAGAAACTCCAGGACCTGAAATGTGTGTGTCAGATAAGGGAGACATACAAAATGTGCAGTGTTGGGGGGCGCCCAGGACCAGGGTTGAGAAACACTGTTCTAGAGTCTTCTGAATTCAAAGCAAATTCAAGTTTCCAATACAAAGTAGTTCAAGGGTCCACAAATGAGACAGAGATGTATCTGACCCCCTCTACGGTGGGCAGACCCTCGTGGTAGTGAGTGAGGCGTCCAGGGTGCAGGAGTGCCCAGCCTCGGCGCCTGGTTGGAAAATGTCACGCCCCTTACCATAGCCACCTGCGAGCTTCTGTATAAATATGAAAAGTGATTTCTGTTAAATAAAATATCTCCTTTTGAAGTGGACTTTGAACTTTGTAAAGTTCGTCTGCCTTGGGAAAGCTAGCGTGTCTCCGACATAGTGATAACACTCGTTGCCTTCTCTAGTGCAGCTCAACCAGGTCTCGTCCCATTCGTCGATATTTGTGATATCACAAATCCCAGAAAATATGCATTGTAGTCCAAACGAGTTGTTCGTTGTAGTTTTTGAAAAGTGATTTCTGTTAAATAAAATATCTCCTTTTGAAGTGGACTTTGAACTTTGTAACTTTGCAAATCTTTTTTATGCTCAAACAGCAACATTACAGACTAACTAAAGTTGAAAAAGCATAATAGCACCCCTTTAAAGGTAATTGTTTCACTTTACAAGCACGAAGAAGGTATGGAAGCCCATTTCTGCCACTGAAAAAAAAAAAAAAAGGGTAATTGTGACTTTTTTTTCCCTCACATTTCTGGCTTTTTCCTTGCAATTGTGAATGTAACCTCTCGTAATTCTGACTCTATTCCATATTTTGTCTCGCAATTGGTCGAGATATAAAAATCACAATTCTGAGAAAAAAAGTCTGAATTTCATTTCATTTCAGTTTAAATCTCGCACTTATGACTATTTCACAGAGTTGTGAGTTTATGTCTCACAATTCTGACTTTATAACACGCAATTAGAACTTTATCATGCAAGTCTGACTTTATAACTCACAGCTGCAAGTTAAAATTGAGAGAAAACACAATTCTGAGAAAAAAGTCAAAATTGTGAGATAAAAAGTCACAACTACACTTTTTATTTTTTACTCAGTGGCAGAAACAGGCTTCCACAAAAAGGAGATAATTAGGATACATAGAAAAAAAATTTACAATAATAATTTACATTAAAAAAAATTTTTAACAAAAAAAAAGACCTTCCTAAAAGACCTTCCTGGAAGACCTGTTCATGTTCCAACAGTTGGAATATTTCAGTATCTCCAGGTCTCAAGCTTTCAGGAGAGCTGCAGGTCAAGACATGCTGCTGTGTTACGACATCAACATTTTACAAACCAACAGTTTGCATACGTCACATTTACGATATGAAGTAGCTATATGTTTATAATACTGTAGATTAGGTTCTGTATATAAATAATAATAAATTGCATTAAACTACACTGAAAAAAATTATACTTTATACTTATAAAAATACTTAAATTTGTTACAGCCAAATTTATGTTTTTCTCAAATTATATTTTTTTAATCATTCATTTTTATATATATTTTCTGTCACATCAATGAATTATGAAGGTAATGCTAGCAAGCTGTTGTTTACAAAGTCTGCTCTTTAAGTAAAGCAGCAAAGGCATGGTCTTTATGTACCCTAAGCAAAGGAACTGAAATGCCTCTAAAATAAAATAAGACTTTTTCTCATAAAAAACACAAGAAAAAAAAAAAAAACTTCATTTTAGAATTCGTACTCCCCCCATTAAGTCCCATGCAAAGCATGCAGTACAGTTTCAGGTATTTCAACATTTTAAATAAACTAATTTAAAAGCGAATAATTCAAGTTTAGAAGAGAAACACAGTTTGGTTGTGTAGATCACAAATAATATGACAACAACTAAATCGGACAACTGTGTTTCCTCTTTTTTGCAGTGTACCATACTAAATCAATATTTTCTTTAGACACAAGCCAAAATGTATAATTTTATGTTAAAAGTTAAAACCATATTTTTTTGGCTTTTTACAACTTAATTTCACCACAAACAAAAGCTAAATTAGCTTTAATATAATATTTTAATAACACCAAAAAAATGTATAAAACTCACAATAATTTCTGCACTCAGTAAAGCTAGCCAGTATGTTCTGCACATACTATGAATACTATAAAACACTAATCAAAATACTAAGCAAAATTGTTTTTTTAATTTGTTCTATGGGGAGTGTAATTTGCTTTTAGACAACTGAACGAAACAGTAACAAACCATGATTCACGCTCACCAGGAAAACAAGATTATCGATTAGAACAATATAAAAATGCACTTTAAATAAGACGCTTAACAAAAGGCATTTAACAAAAAGAAAACGGTGTATAGCAGAGCCAAGCATCACAGCCATGTTTTCACTCACCTGATAGTCAATGCCCACTTGATTGAGCGCAATATTGATAGTGAAAGTAGAGGCGTCATGATGTGGTCTTAATGCGGGTTGTTCATCAGGTTTATATCTGACTACAAACGCCAGATCAAACTGAGCCTGCAGGAGACAAACACACACACAGATGCAGTAATCATGCAGCATTCACTGCCCAAAGAAAGATCTCCATTCTGGAACATAACGAAGAATTCTCATAATAAAAGAATTCTGGAGTATCTCAAATATATGGTTTCACTGTAAATATGTCACATTTATGGCAGTGAAATAGATTGTGAATGCTGCTTCGTGTTGACATGCAAAAGTTTAAAAAATTAGGATTCGTAACGTTTTTGAAAGAGTCTTATGCTCACCAAGGCTGCTTTTATTTAATCAAAAATACAGTAAAAATACTAATATTGTGAAATATTATTACAATTTAAAATAGCTGTTTTCTATGGGAATATATTGTAAAATGTAATTTATTTCTGTGATGCAAAGCTGAATTTTCAGCATCATTACTTCTTTATGATCCTTCAGAAATCATTATAATATGCTGATTTGCTGCTCATGTATCATCAATTATTATTGGTTATTATGGTTCTTATTATTATCAATATTGAAAGCAGATTTTGTTAACTTCATATTTTTGAGGAAACCATTTGTTTATGATTCTTATATGAATAGAAAGTTTAGAAGAACAGCATTTATTTGAAATTGAAATCTTTTGTACCATTATAAATGTCTTTACTGTAACTTTAACTTCAGTAATTACTTCTTCGATGTCAGGAGAACAAAGTAAGGCTTACCGTTGTGTAGTACCCTGGATACATTTTCTCAGTGACCGGCGCTGCATAATCCAAAAGGAACTTCTGCCATTCTTTATCGTAGCCCACCTGATTCATGTGGATATCAACAGTGGGGACATTTTCATATCCGCCTAGGATCCTTTTGTCCTAAAAGCAAAAGAAATCGTAATCATGCTCAAATAGATTGTAAGGTAAGGCAAAATAGCATTGGGATGAAACAGAAAAACAACAGCAACAACAACATACCACATTTCTACCTCCTGACCACTGGCCAAAATGTTCCATCTCTTCAATGAGATGTTTGCAGGCCACGTCGGTGAAAACAGGGAACCAGTACACATCAGGGCACGGCTACACAGAGAATTACAAAGAAGTTTTACATTATAATGACTTTACCAATGACTCAAAAGCATTTGTTGTGCTTGCCATCGCTGTTACTATCGCTCCTCTTTAGGTTTGGCGATGTAAACAAACTCTAAACCTAAGTTTTAAATACCATTGAAGGAGGGACCTGAGTCATTTCTAAGAGATTGGGGATGCTCTCTTTTTACTTGGGCCAGGATGCAGTCATCTAAAAACCACACAGTACCATGTAGCAAAATGCTTAAAACAACAGATCACCTCTGTAACCTCAAAGAAGCACCCTGACAACCAAATACAACACTTTAGCATTACGGCAGCGAGTTTTGTCCTGATGCTCACCATTTATAAAAACAGTAATACTGTGAAATAATATTACAATTTAAGACAACAGTTTTCTACTGTAATATATTGTAAAATGTAATTTATTCCTGTGAGCAAAGCTGAATTTTCAGCATCAGTGTCACATGATCTTTCAGAAATCATTCTAATATGCTGATTTGCTGCTCAAGAAACCTTTTTTTTTATTATCAATGTTGAAAACAGTTCTGCTTAATATTTATTATATATGATTATTTGATGAACAGAAAGTTCACATTTGAAATAGAAATATTGTGTAACACTATAAAAGTCTTTACTGTCACTTTTGATTAATTTAATGCATCTTTGCTGAACAAAAGTATAAATTTCTTTAAAAAATTGCTGAAGCTTTTGAAAGGTAGAATAGTTTATATATTCTCAAAGACAGGACTATAATCTTATACAGTATGTAGTATTACAAACTAACTATAATCTTCAGAAAATTCTGCTATTATAATGATTTAGGTGAATACTCACCATTTCTATAAGACCATCTCTCAAAACTTTGGAATAATTCTCATGAATGTATCTTTCCTCCCATTCCTGTTCCAGAGAAAAAAATGAAAGAACAATAAGGCAAAAACAACGAGTAAACTAACAATAAAGCATTAATGCCTTGTATAATATTCAATTAAATGTTGCTGTGATTTTTATCTTACCACAGGGTTTTCAAAGATCTGCCAGAGATCATTGTGCAAGTGGTTTGTCTGGTAATTTTCAGTCGATAAAACTCGACCGAAAGTGTGCATATTTGTTACGAACATGAAGACACCCTAGGATTGGAAAAAAAAAAAGAAGATACATTTCATATATATATGTATATGTATATATATGTGTATATGTATATGTGTGTGTGTATATATGTGTGTGTGTGTATATGTGTATGTGTGTATATATGTGTGTGTGTGTATATATGTGTGTGTGTGTATATATGTGTGTGTGTAAGGAAAAACCATGCATTAAGAGCCGGGGGTGAAAACTTTTGAACAGAATGGAGATGTGTACATTTTTCTTATTTTGCCTAAATATCATCTTTTTTTCTTTTAGTACTGCCCTTCAGAGGCTACAGAAGATTAGTTACATGTTTCTCAGAAGACAAAATAAGTCAAATTTACCCTGATCTTCAAATTCAAAAGGTTTTCACTCGCGGCTCTTAATGCATGGTTTTTCCTTCTTGAGCATCAGTGAGCATATGAACCTTCATACCCCTTGCAGAATATGCAAATATGTTAATAATTTTAACAAAATAAGAGAGCTCATGAAAATTGCATGTTATTTTTTATTTAGTACTGTCCTGAATAAGCTATTTCACATAACAGATGTTTATATACACCACAAGAAAATTTATAAAAATGACCCCGTTCAAAAGTTTACAAATCTTAATACTGTGTGTCGTTTCCTGGATGATCCATGACTGTTTTTATGTTTTGTGATAGTTGTTCATGAGTCCTGCGTTGGTTCTGAACAGTTCAACTGCCTGCTGTTCTTCAGAAAAATCCCCCAGCTCCTGCACATTTGTCCTCAGTGTGAAAAGATGGATCTCAAAATCATACAGTCACTGCTGGAAAAGGTTCAAATATGCAGAAGATGCTGGAAAACCAAAGAATGTGCAGGAGCTGGGGGATTTTTTTGGGGGGGAACTGCTCAGGACCAAGGCAGGACTCAAGAACAACTATCACAAAACCGACGACATTGACTGTGAATACAGTTGGTTTGAATGTATTTTATTTCTTCTGGTGATTTGAGTGTAATGTCTGACCTTGTTTCGAACTTTGGAGCAGAAGGCCATATCCGGATCAAGCGTTGCAGATTCAAACAGGTCAGGATCTTTGAGATCAGTCCTCAATGTATCGGCTTTTATCAGGAATATGTGAGAGACGTATGGCACATTCCACAAACCCCTGTGGAGGCACCGGAGAACAGTCACATGTTTGCCATTTGCCCCAGTTTGATGCATTTCAAAGACTGCTTCATATTTTTAGAGCAGTGAAATACACTCAACATACCAGACCTCCTTCCAACAACAATATCTCTGTGGATTCTCAGTGATTTCACAGAACAAATGAAACGAACTAAACACCAACTTACATGCGGCGTCCTTTAACTATGTCCATGTAATCCTCTGACCTGGCGTAGTACCCGTCGGCACTGAGCGCACCCCAGAAGTTTGTCCACAGACGCCCGGGTTTGGTCATCATTGGTGCAATGAAAGGCCTGTGAGGTTCATAAAAACAATGATTAGAATCAAAGAAAAAAGGCTTTGAAGGCATCAATATCAGGCATCCTCCACAGGTTTGCATGGCAAGTACATTATTGTACGTGCAATATTTGTGCATGCTTACAAACAGATGCTATCCATACAGGTTCATTATTTCAAAACCTGAAATATATCTTTAAAGCCATTACTATATTTCAATAGGGGACATGAACTCAACAAAGAAAACATATTTGCCTTCATTTGTCAAGTACTTTCATTTCTTCCCAAGTCTTACTACTTCACTTACTTATTGAGCTCAATTAAGATTCTAAGCATGTCTTCATTCTTTAAAACCACGTCCACATCTATGCTGAAGAAGTATTCACAATCAATGTCGTCTCGACACATATCGCTGCAACGAAAAAGAAAAAAAGAAATCAATGGAATATTCAAAGCATAGAGGAGCCATTCAAGTTTTTTCTTCTTCCGTTTTTAAAAAAATCTCTGTCCACATGAAAACGCAAATGCATGCTATGAAGCACTGTCAAGAGCATGCCAAACCAACAGGTGGCGATATAATCTCAACCGTAAAGCCATGTTGGCCAATTAGAAGCCTGAAAAAGTCTCCAGTAGGCGGAGATAACAGCGCAGGCACCGACGTCACAAGCCAAAAACTCCGGTTTCGCTGTCTACACGATAACACTGCAACCGGAGTTTTTGAAAATCTTCACCCTGGCAGGCGTTTTCAAAAATGTCCAGTTTCAGTGACCTGGTGCTGCGTTTGCGTGTGGACGAACGGCCAAACTGCGTAGAAAAAGCTGCGGTTTTAAAAATAACTGCGTTCGTGTGGACAGGGCCTATGTTCACCAGTTATGGACGTTGAAGTATTAAAAAATAACTATTGTATTTAAAAAGGCCACTCACAAGCCAATATTACGTGAGGTCACAGGATCTATATCCTCCTCTGGTCCAATCAGCTTCACACCCTGGTATTCAGACTCGTGATACTCCAGAAATGTGCGTATGTGTGGTTCGTGATGTAATTCCTGCAAAAGACATGAATCAAAAGGATTGTCCTTCACGGTATATACTGAACATAAAAAAAAAAACATCCATGAAGAATTACAGTAATGAACATCAATGTAGGCGATTCATTAATATATACAAGGTCCATGTGAATCTAATCTGATCCGCCTTTAATGAAGACCCAACTTATGAAAAGACACTCAACAGGACAGGCGTATCAGTTCCCTAATACTGATCTTAGATAGATAGATGTCTATATAATAATAAATAAGGACTGTCACCATTTTAAGAACTTAATTGGTAACACTTTACAATAAGGTCCCATTTATTAAAGAGGTCATATGATGCGTTTGCATGTTTTCCTTTTACTTTAGTGTGTTTTGTAGCTGTTTGTGCATGTATAAGATCGGCAAAGTTACAGAGCTCAAAGTCTCCCACAAAAGGAATTTTTCTGTCTAAAAGAGAAGGCTGATCCAGATCGGCCGAAAACGCCTCACATATCTAAGTCACTATGTGGACATATTTGCATAATACCACCCAAATGGATACGCAAAGCAAGAAGGCGTGGTTTCAGGTATCACAGTACTGTTGTTGCCGCCATGCCGTGGAGACGCTTTGTGTTTCTATGCGGAAGCAAAAGCACTTTTTTGGCCTTTCCGAAAGTGGACGCAATTAGGAGTCAGTGGTTAACATTTATTTACAACACTGTTCCAGAACAGTACAACCCAAATGTTCGAGTGTGAGCAGCAAAGTTTCCTGAACCTGGGAGAGCACAAGGCCGGCTGTGCAGAAAGGCTGTTTCTAAAATATGGGGCAATTCCAACTTTGCTCGGACAATCTGGCGCTTCTGAATCAGAGCCCGTAAGTAAGTTTTATAATTTGCTATTGACTGTTCAAATGCTGAGTTTGGTGAAGTGTAGAGTAATGCTTACTGTTTGTCGTTCTTACGATCACAAATGCAGACAGAGATGGATTTATGTTTACAAACGTAGTATCCTCTGTTCTCTGAATATAACTGGCGGCGAAAAGACGACAAACATGATTCACTACATGTTCTGCGTCACACTGGACGCTCGAGTAGAGCCTGTTGTGATATAGTAAAACTGACGGCATTATTAACTGTTCTTATCATTGCTTTGGAAGCTAAAGCTCATGATTATGGTAAGGGGCATTACATTTCCAACACACGCTTGAGATGTTCGGCCAATGACAACGCACTGGGTCAGCTGGCCAATCAGAGCACACTGCGCTTTTGGAAGGAGGGGCTTTGTAGAAATCGACACATTTTTTTCAACAAATCCTAGACGGCCACCGGGACAAGACCACAGGAACCAGTTGAGTCCTCTGCACAATCTGACTTTGCTGCAGCCTGGAATTGAACTGCTGGTTTCGTCTGGTCAGAGGAGAGCTGGCCCCCGACTGAGCCTGGTTTTTCCCAACGTTTTTTCTTCCTTCTGTCACCGATGGAGTTTTGGTTCCTTGCCGCTGTCGCCTCTGGCTTGCTTAGTTGGGGACACTTAATTTCCAGCGATATCGTCGACTTGATTGCACAGATACTATTTAAACTGAACTGAGCTGGATGATGACATCACTGAATTCAATGATGAACTGCCTTTAACTGAACATTGAGTGTTTACTATTGTCATTTTGTATTATTGACACTGTTTTCCTATTTAATGCTGCAAAGTTGCTTTGACACAATCTGTATTGTTAAAAGCGCTATATAAATAAAGGTGACTTGACTTGACATTTTAGAACGACTGTGCATAGAGGATCTGCAATAATGAACAGTACGTGAAAAATAATGCATTTTTTGAACATTAAAGCTTGCTAACATATTCTATTACACCCAATACACAAAATCATGAGTTTTGAAAATAGCATCATATGACCCCTTTAACATTTGCAAATGCATTAGCTAACGTGAACTAACATTTATTTTTGTTAATGTTAGTTAGTAAAAATATAATTGTTCATTGTTTATTCATGTTAAAAATGTATAAGTAAAAATTTAACTTACCATAGATGCTGTTCAAGTATTGTTCATTGTAAATTCGTGTTAACTGATGTAGTTAACAAATGTTAACAATGAAACCTTATTGCAAAGTATTACCACTTAACTGTTAAAAATGCACAGAATTATAAATCTGAACATAATGGTTTACCTGATTATAGATGAATAATCGGAGGCGGTTTTTGGGGTATTTGAGGTTAAGCAAGCGCTCAAAGAACACAGTGACGAAGGGTGTGGGCTGCTGGATGAAGATCCCAATGACCACCACAGGATATTCACTCTCCTGCAGACAAAAAACAGCCAAACCATTCATAAACCAAGCAATTATTTAGCTGAAGCTTCATTTCAATTGAAATGTATGTTTAGCTGCCTAAGGAAGTGTCTATGAATGCTTATGGTGCAAACAGTGAAAATGTGCAGTAATTAGACTTTTATTGGTGTAAATTAATGTAGTCACGTTCATAAAGTTCTATATTATTTTGTGTATTATAAAAAAAAAATGATTTTAATAATTAAAAAATGTGTATTGGTTTAATGCAATGTATTGTATGTGAACAGTGAACACTGAATTGAATTTCAGCTTTTTATTTCAATTTTAGATTTGTTTATTTATTTATTTAATATGTCTGAATCAGCCTGACTAAAGTAGGTCATTTTTAAGGGTCACATCAGGTATAAACAGCTCCTTCGGGTAATAACTACACACTGTCAATCTTTACATTGTTATCATGAATATTTAATAATCAAGATGTATGGAGCCCTGCACATGCCATGCAGAGAAAGAAATAGGTATTGAGGCCATAAATTAAAAATTTGTTCCCACAACTTAATAATTTGAGGCCACATTTTTTCTGTTTGGTTTGGTTACTAATTAATTAGTCATGGGAACTAATTCTTAATTTGTGGCCACAATATCTTGCTTTTTCCCCCTTCATGCTCCGTAAAAGTGGATTTGACTAAAGTTATTTAATAAAACAATCTATACTATAAATCTAAACACAACAGTTCCTTTATAAATGGTTTTCATGATTAATTTTAATTTAAAAAAATTACTGATGGTAAAAATAGTAAACGTAAGGCCCACCTGGAGTCCAGAAAGAGGTCGCAGACCCTCGTTACATAATGTGCAGCCGGTCTCAAACATCCACAGATGTGGGATATAGTTCCCTAGGTAGTTTATCTGAAGCTGAAAGAAACAGCATTTATTTTTTATTATTATTATTAAACTGAACAAGACAGAACGCTATAGAAAAGATCTTACTTTTACATTACAGTTATTTGGATCATAACACTAAAATAGTTTTACTTTGGTGGGTCCGTTGCCATGGATAATAACGGGTAGAGTGTTGTAAAGCACATTTCTGGCTCGCACGCGTCCATCTTCAAACTTCAGCACGACCTCATCTGTTCATGCAATTAAAAAAAATAATAAATTATCATTAATATTCTGATTAAAATTTGACAATCATTCACTTGCAGCTGAATTCTGTTTGAATCGTTGTGTAGTTATATGATCAGTTAAATGTCCATAAATATCCACTGGCCCATTCATAAAGGATTTCCTCCATAAATGTTTAAATGAATCTCCCTTGGGCATCTGTAATGGATACCTCTGATCCAGAAAGAGAAAGGAAGCTTTTTAAACCACCTAAAGTCGCTCTCCTCCCACAATCTGGCAGTGAGTCAAAACTACAGCTGCCAGGCGAGCAGAACGCAGCTTTAAACTCAAATAAAAGACTTCAGTCCACGTGAAACCAATCAGCATTTGAGACCCTCAGCAAAGCATTGCATTAGCGATTCCTCATTAAACTGAAAGGTTACAGAAAGAGGAAACATCCCAGCAGGTATCAGAGAGCGAGAACTGTACTGACGCTGCACCATTAAAAGGGATGTTTTTCTTCAGAGAGCTGATGCTAGGGAGAAATTTGCAGAAGCCTCCTTAAAGTTTAATCTCCAACAGCTGTATTTCTAAAGCGGGCTGTAAGAACACAAAACGATACACTTACCAAGAGCTCCGTGAAGATTCTGGAACAGTCTGCACTTGTTGTCCAGAGTTATATTTATAGACTTCTAAAGAGGAAATGACAGGGAAGAAAATGTCAAAACGCAGTGTAAACACATTTAATGTGTCATTACTGAAAACTGTGAACTTGAATGTGCATTCTGAGAACAGGGCAACATATCTTAAAACAGAGCAATAAAGTTTTAGGAAACCACGCTATGCCCAACAAACTATAGCCAAACACTCACTCGTTTCTCCGGGTTGATATATAGCTTGGTGAAAAAGAGTTGGTCACTGTCACTATCTGCTCCTGACCAGTCCGAAAGCATCTGTTTAAGATTGGGTGCATAGCCAATGAAGCCTAGAAAAAAAGAAAACATCCAGCGTAACAATGGAAAAAGCCTATAAATAAACAGACGCATATTATTATTATTATCTGGTTTAGGTGTGTACTTGGATGATTTAAACTTTGAATTATTAGTCATGAAAAGAAGGAAGAGAGTGGATTTTCAGAGAGGCCACAGATGGCAATAATGACAGTAAAGTATTCTCTGATTATATGCAAGTATGAGAAAAATGAGTGATTGTGAGAAAGGAAATTAAAAAAGGAAGTCGTCTTAGTAAAGCAGTTCCTAGTAAATGTAGCCTAACTCTCTACAAAGACAAGAATATGAGCTCTTCGCAATTACATTCAACCGCTGAATTATAAGGTTAAAAGTGATTATTTCAGTTGGTGGTATGCTTGGTTATAGCTACTGTATAATGAATTACAAGATATTATTACATGCATTGGTTTGCTTCCATTCTATTCTATGCCCCATTGCCTCCAAAACTGAAGCATTCATCCACTGTTAAAATAATAATTTTATAATTGCTGAATTTAGGGCTTTAAAATAAACAAAAACCCAAGTATAACACCTACTGTAATCGACAAAATAAAGTATAATTGTATATACAACACAGTTCTAATTGTAATGAATTCTTTTGTTTTGTTTTGAAGACATTTTATTGAATGAGAATGGTAAAATTTTTATGATAATA